CCCGCCAGCCTGCTACAGTGCACAATCCCGCACCCATCTTAGATCTCCTGGACCAATACCCGCTCTTTAGCAAGATCCACATTTTAGTGACCCCTTTTCCCCCTAGATGATTGTCTGCACGTCAGAGTTCAAGGGGCACAGCATAGGTGCTCATAAGAAAGTAAGTTTTGTTGCTTAGTTCATTGTTGTGTTGGCCGAGGCCTGGAAGAGTGCCTGGGACACAGTAAGCACAAGGAACATGTGTAGGGTAGTGACTGATGCTAAAAGAGACGAGGGCTGGGCCCTCCCTGGTGGCGCAAGGGGTTAAGACGCAGCACTGCAAGCCGGCCACGGCCTCTTCAGTGCCAGTTGGGTCCTGGCCTGGAGGTGACCCACATGGCGCTGCAGCCCTCTCCCCATCCACCCGCTGCTCCCCTCAGCAGTGTACTTCCAGTCTGCCTGTTCTGCTCCCCACTTTGTCTCTGCTGAATCCTCTCACCGCCCCTGCACCGCCGGCTGGTACCCCAGTTCTGTATAAATAAATAAATCTTAAAAGACTTAAAAGACAGAGAGAGACCAGGGTTAATCCAACCAGCCCTTCCAACCTAGCCGTTCCTGCGCACCATTCACCTGTCCGTTCAGGTGGGAGGGTGTAAGAATGGAAAGCAGACAGGTGAGGAGCTTGGCTCCCTCTGCGAAGCCACCGGGCCTGGAAAGCCAAACCTCCCTTCCCTGTCTTGTACCCTTCAGGTACCCGGTGAGTCTGTCGTCGGACCTCGAGTGGCGACCTGATCGGTGCCAGGACGTGAGCGAGGTGCAGCGCGACCCGCGCGCGGGCTCCGCCCCGTTGGCCCAGGACGTGCAGGTGGATCCCCGCAAGGACTCGCAGGGCAGCTCGGAGCGCTTCCTGGAGCAGTCGCACTCGTCCATGGAGCGCGCCTTCGAGGCGGACTACGGGCGCTCCTGCGACTGCAAGGTGGGGTCTCCATCCTACCTGGACAGGCTGCTGTGGCGCGACAATAAACCTCACCACTACTCGGAGCCCAAGCTCATCCTGGACCTGTCAAACTGGAAGCAGGCGGCGGGCGCGCCCCCGGCCGCG